GTAAGTCTGAGTTCTTCTTAGATGTGTATATCTGCATATGACTGTTATACTCTCTGGTTATTCATTTAGTGAGTAAAAGGAAAGGTGTAGTGAGCATACATTATTACAAGACACTGTGATGGGGAGGTTAAGTGGTTGCTGTCCGTTAGTTCTTTATTCCTATTCCTTTGTCTTGCTCTGATTCAGTCTAGCCACGAAGCCTCTAAAGCATCGTGATTTCATATCTGTCTATTGGTTATGTATAAGGGCCTGCTGTGGCCTTCCTGCTGCTCCCCTTTTCATGTTCCCTTAAGTCTGCAGGTCTCAGCCAGCAGATTCTGGCAGAGACCTGATGGATGGCACCCACTTCACTCCAGGCGATGACAGATGTGCTGGATGTCATTGAATTAAGCTTCTTACATTGGTTTTAGGTCTTCCCTGAATGGCAGAGCTTCCTTAGGCTGTCATTACCCAGTGATCACATCAAGGTGCTAAATGTTTGCAGTGGGTAATCTTAGAAGCAAACAGAGCTGTCTTTACTGAAGATGCCATTGGGGTTGCCATACTTCAGCTGCTGGTGAGTTTGAACAAGCAGTCTACACCTGCAGCTCGTTGGTTATGAGGATCTTCTGCCCAGGAATCCATGCTGTTATGAAGAATTACTGTTCTAAGAATTGGTTGGGTTTTTAAATTCACTGCCCCATTTGCCTGATTCTCAGCCTTCAATGACTACATTAGTGGCTTATTTAGGTAGCCCGAGTGACCCTGAACTTCCTGAGAAGAGACAAGAATAATACCGAGTGCTCTGAAATAAGCAGGATAATTCTTGGCATTCATGCAAGCCAAGTGATCAAATGACGCCTGCACTGCATAAAGCAGAGTGATTTTAGTGAATTGCCCGAACGTTTTACGAGGGACTAAAAGGCATGATTCTGAATATTTTTTGCACATCCACCTATTTACAGAATGCGTCCTACGGAAGTGCTCATAATAGGAGACGGTCTTTTCCTCAGTACCCACTGTGTGCTGGTGATTGGTAGGAACTTAATAGATACTATATTTAAGCTCCTATGACCCCTATTCGATAGATGACAAAATTGAAGCTCACTGAGGTGAAGTTGCCTAAGTTGAAAACTTTCTTGGCTGAGGTCTTTTGAACATTTATTTAAGGAAATGAGATTAATAAAAGAGGCTCTTGAGAAAAAAATTTGGAAGCTACTGAAAGTGGTCATGGCAGGTGACACAGAAGGTCCTAAACGAAGAACTATTTATTAGGAAAAACTCACCTAATAAACTCAATAGAGTCCTATTAAAGAGATTATATGTTAAATACACTCCAAAAAATAAATTCCCAGGACTGCTAGCCACACAGAAGTGGCACTAATATCCCTAGTGCTGGCCTTACAGTATACCAGAGCAGGTCCACAATACCCTCAGGCCTAGGTCAAGCCTGGTGTTCGATGTGAAAATCTGAGGGTGTGATTTGTTACTTAGATTCAAAGCCATGTGCTCCGAGGTGCCTTCCGTACCAGCACACTTACTACTGCAGGTAAAATTATGTACGAAGTCCCTCCGTGCTGTACTGAGGGTGGTGGGTAAAGAGAGGAATTGACTAAGCTTCGGAGCATTCTCTACAGTGAATAACTTGTAGGCTTTAGAATATTTTCTAAAGAAACTATTGATATTTTAACTTGAATTCCCATTCAAATCTTTGTCATTCACATAATAACTACCTAAAAATGTACATAAAGTAGAATGTGTTTTCCTGGTTTTTTTTTTTTTTTTCCTTCTTTATCGTAAGGTATGACTAAAGCATCTGTTGCCCAGTGCAGACGGGAGATATATATAAAATGGGCTCTGCAAAGACCTTATTCCAAAGTGACTATGCTGGTATATGCCCTTCAGGGCATTGGCTGACTGCTCAGAGGGGCAGAGTATTAAATTGCTAGGATTTTGTGAGCTGATTGAAATTGGCCACGATAGCAGTATTTACACCATGGAAATCATCAGATGCTACCCCTCACCCCCACCCCAAGTCAGTTGTCACAGCTTTCCCAGCACAGTACTGGCTGCTGCTTACCTGCCCCCCTCCTGGGGACTCTGTGCTGGACCCAGAGACCTAGGAAGAGGATAAAGACTGAACCTGCTTCTTACCTGCCTGACTCCAAGGCTGTTGTACTCTCCTATATTCTCATGTGGAAAAGAGTGGTGGGAAATTTAGATTACAGCCAAGCTAATGACCTTGGACACTGAGCAAGAGTTTGAAACTAATTGATTGATTTGTATCAAAGTCCAGAGGGCTCAGAGAGGGTGATGGAATGGTGGTTCATAGGAACAGATGTGGGAATTCATCATAATACAGGCCTGTCCTACTGTGAGCTCATCCTATGCAGGCAGCTACTATACTAGGGATAGATTTTTAAAGTAAAACTATACTCTGCCTTGATTAAAGGTGTCCGAGTCCTCAGATGGGTAGAAAGTAGGCACTGAGTCATCTTTGGGGGATACTAGAGAGAGGGAGTTTTTGTGGTGATAGAAGTATTCTCTATCTGTACCGTTCTAAGTATGTGGCTATTGAGCACTTGAAATGTGGCCAGTGTGAATGAGGAACTGAATTTTCAATGGTAATAAATTCAAGATTAAATTTATATAGCCACATGTGGCTAGTGGCCACTGTATTGGACAGAACAGCTCCCGGACTTTCAAGAACTGTGCTGGGTAGCAGCTTGCCAAGCATGGGGGAGAGGTGGTGCAGTGCATTCATCATGCTGGACTGAGACTTGGACAGCTAAGTGTTTCCCAGACCCCTTGCCTCCTACATTACTGACCAGCAAGACCAACACTCCTGCAGCTAGCAGACATTGTCCCATTCACATGTACCTGTCCCTAGGCTGAACACGTCAGGAGGTCACTTTGTTTAATTCTCACCATTCTCTGCAGTAGGGGTGAGGCCTCCAACTTACAAATGAAGAAAGAAGACACAGAGAGGGACAGCCCTTGCTGTACCCTCTCAGAGCCAGCACTGTCACCAGACCTGCCTTCCTAAATCAAACAACTTTGCTAGATGGATAGTCTTAAAACCCAGAGGAGCCTCTTTAAAAATATTTTCTATACTTGTTTTAGTACTGTACCTTCACATGTAACACAGTTTTCTTTACAAGGGGGAGAGGGATCATGGATGTTCAGTCTTTGCAGGTGTTTATTTAGGCACATACTCCTGGAAGTATGCACAGCGCATATACATTTGTTTATAGCATTTGGTCAGTTTTATTTCCCAACTGCTGATGTTGGTATCTTTCTATTTTGCTCTCTCATTTAAATCACTACCAAGTATATCAAAGTCAGTGATCACGTCACTGGGCTTCTTTCTGTGGGAATGCGGTCCAATGATCAGTAAATCCTGATTAATCACTTACCCCAACTCATGTGTTGTTTTTGGATCTACACAGATTGAAATGATTGAAATGGGATGAAAATGGACATGTAAACCCAAGGTTGAACAAGGCCTTTTGAAAACATTCTATAAATTACCTACTAATCTGTTAACCGTATTTTGCATTTGGCTGGGATTCTTTTTGCTTAACAGCAACAACTGTACCCACAAGTAAATTGGAGGGGGTTGATACTGATAATTAACACATTTTATACATAGGCCACCTGCACACCACTAGAGCAGCCAGAAGCTAAAGGCAGGACCTGAATCCAGGGACTTTGCTGTTGGGGACTGGGCTTTAGCCTCACTTCCTGCCATGCAATGCAGAGGTTGTTTTTCTCACTGTCTGCAATAAGCAAACACTGTTAATACAGCCCTCTTTGTACTCGAGGTGGTTTGCTGCCCTGATAATGTATTATCTGGCTTCTTTCATGCTGGCTACCAGCTCCCTTTATCTGTCCTGGGGCACACAGAGTGAAGGGTGCAAATCACATAAGGCAATAGCACACTGCCTTATTAGATCCAATATCCAGACAGTTTCAAGGAGTGGGAAAGAGAAGGCTTGGTGGTCCAGAAGGCTCGTATATATACCCTGGGCACTGTTTGGAGAAGCATGGAACCAGAGAAGCAGTGGCTGTTCTGTCAACCTGAACAGACTGCCTGACCCACTGGTTTCCTAGCTAGAGAGTTCAAGAACGTATACCCTACCATTAGGTCACTTGTTTTTAATGCTATTGCTACACAATTTCAGCCTCAAAAAATGGTAAACAATGCCCAGCAAACTTTTATCAATGCTGGACAGTACGCAGAGTCTTTATAAAGTTAATGGAAAACAGGTATTATGAAAAAACTACACATGGATTTCAAAAATTGCATGCGCCAAAATAAATTTGTACATTTATACCCATTTTTCCACGAACTTTTTGAAATCCCCGCATATGCGCTCAGAACTTGGTGTCCTCTCTGTAGCCCAACTGGACACACAGAGGGCAGCCCATGGGGAAAAGCGTCTGTCTCCTAATCATATACAGATAGGGCTTATCTCAGGGTAAGCACTGCTTCGTTGAATACTAGCTAAAGAAAGAAAAACATTATCTATCAGATGAAATTGTACAGTCCTGAATTTCAATGTTATTCCAATTCTTTGTTATAAGCAAGTCAGCATTTACTAAATGTCTTTTCTCTTCCATAACATTGTTCGTAAGGGGCAAACAGCTTCTTATTTAAATAGCTTCTCATTAAATAGCTTCTTATTTGGACTGGCATCCATATTCTATACATTATCAATATCATAAACTTTTAGTCCTAGTATATGGAAAAGAAAGATTTATCAATTCATTTAAAATGTAGGTACAGTTTGAACACAAGGCCAGACAGATGAATGCTAACCATGATACAAGTGTGTCATAAAGGTGAGTATGCAGTGATGTCTGGCATCGTAACGTACCGTGTAACCCCTTGGACCACAGCCCATTCGCAGAAATGCTGGCTTTTATCTCATTATGGATTTGGGGCTTTAGGGGCTACAAATGGGCCCTCAGAGTGAGGAGACTGCAGAACTTTGTAAGATATGGGGGAATATACATACCCTTCCCGATGGGCCTCTCCTTTTTCCAACTCCTGAATGACCCCCAAGAGCACTTTGATGGTTTCTTGGCTTGAGCTGATCAAGTTCTCCATCATCTGAAGCTGTGCTTTGAGGTCCACCACTTCCGTATGAGGCACGATTTGTTGGCATTCATCACCTGTAGCAACCACTGTCGGACTAGGCTGGCTCTCCAACCCCGCTGGGGCTCGAGTCTGCAGGGTCTGTTCACTACATTCGGGGGACAGGCACTGCATCGGGGGTGAGCAGGCCAGGGCAGTGCCTGGGGGCGCCTGGAGCCCATTGAGATGTGCGGCTCTCCTCCGCTCCTCATCTACAGGGCAGAGGGACCACTGGCTTGCAGCGGCAGAGTTTGACAAGCCAGGCTCTGTGGCCCGGGCACTGTGGGCAGGTGCGTAAACGGTGGCAACCTCCGTTTTAAACACCCTCCCGAGCGTGGGCAGAGGCGGCTCCTCAGAGTCTGGCGTCCCCCTGTCATGCCTTGCTTTCCCATGCAGCTGGTAATCAGGCTCTTCAGGAGGCCGAGTGGAGTTTTGGAGGGGAACGTCTTGATAGCTAAGCAAATCAGGGTTTTTGCATGGCTCTGCACAGTTGACCCCAGAAGGCTGATCCACAGCATTCATGTGTTCATTAGAGTGGAAAACCAAGGCTGTCGTCTTTTGGACTCGGCCTGCGCCACATGGTCGGGGCTCTTCCGTGTGTCCTCCCTCACTTTTATCTTTAGTGTCTGTTAGAAACCCATTGTTTTGGCTTTTAAAGGGATCCACAGCTGGGATGCTTTTGAGATTCCCTTTTTTGCGGTCCAGAGGGAATGTCTGGTAACACTTCTTAAGGTCCGGAGAGGTCTGCACGCCTGTGCTCTTGGTGACATTGGGGATGGACCTCCGGGCGGGCACCGTCATGTATTTGCGATAAGCTGCTCTATAGGATACTGGCTTGGCCTCCCGCTTCTCACCCGGCTGTCCTGACGAGAGCTGTGTGTCCCTCTGCTCATTCTGCGCCTCGCAGATATCCTTAAACCGCACCTGCAGGGCTTTGTTCCGTTTCTTAATCTGCCGGTTGGGATCCAGGGCATATTTCATCTCCAGGGCCAGGCAGGCGGCAGGTTCCACTTCACTCTCCGACGTTGTGAGTATACATTTGCCGCTTTCTTTACTGACCATGGTTCCTGCATGCAGAAACAGCAACAATGGCATCAGTGGGACAGAAACACACACGAAAACATGGCAGCACACACTTTGAGCCAGAATTATGACTGCCTGCTTCCTAATTATTTTTAAACAGGTGAGGTCGGCCTTTATGTTAAGGAAAATCAGACAGGCGGAGCGTTGCTGGCAGGCACAGCTTGAAATGCTTCTCAGATATTAAAGCCTGCTTGCTTTTCCATGTGGGATACACTCGTTTTTCTTTTGATAGTAATGCATGTTTCCCCATTAGACAAACCTGTTTTACTATATTCATTAAGAAACCCGATGATGCTGCCTCTTCGGCTTTGCAAATTATCTTTTCACACGTGTGTCCCGACTTCATAGGCAGATGGTTTAGCAAATGCAACTTACTTGCTTTGGGTTTTTACTATTTTTTGAAGATGACGTGATTAATCTATTACTGGAATGGAAGAGCACTGCTGTTTTAAAGACTTACTGAAGATTCTAGGTTCTGAGCAGATAAATGTGGAGAGCCCTACAAGTGAGAACTTGAAAATAGATGTACAATTTACGTTAGCTCTTACGTATTCTGTGGGAAGGCTGGCCAAACTCCTCCGTGGGAACGCCATAAAGATACATCATGGAGAGATGCTTTGCTTCCAATGGGTTAACTAACACTAGCCGTAAAAAGAACTTGGGTTTCCCCGCATCTACAAAGGCAGTGTTAGCAACTCTTTTCTTTGATTCCATGGAGAGTGTTATTTAGAAATTTAAAAAAAAAAAATAAGAAAGAAATTATTCATTCTAGAATCAAGTTTTATGTTTTGATCAGAATCTCTGAAAATGAAAACAATGGTGGTTGTTTCAGTACTTAAATCCTGAAAGAAAATAAAATCACGAGGCTTTATGTTAATCATGCAAATTCATCCTGGACTGAATTATTAAATGCAGCTAAAAAGATGCAGGTGGCCAATGATTCCTCTCGGGGAATACCAGTGGGGTAAAATGCCTTCATTTTATTAGGCTGATTCACAGCTGCTTATTGCACGTGGAAGAACTTTCTTGAGGTTGAACTTTAAAGCAAGAAAATTCAGTTAAGTATGTTGTTTGTGAGTTGGCTTTGGCTTTTCTTCCCCCTTGTGTTTGAGAGGAAACAGTCAGATTGGAGGATCCGGGATATACAGGGCCCTGGAGACTGAAGCCAGGTGCCCAGAAAGGCAAGGTCACAGACACAAGCCGGTAAGTGCCTGGGTAGTGCCAGATCTGCTGTTGACAGATCTTATGCCCTGTCCTGTGACAGTCTGAGAACCCAGCCCAGAGACCTGCAGTAGCACTTCTCAGGAAATGTACAAGAACTCCAACACTTCTGACGTGGTCTCTGTTTATGGGGCAGGGGATCCTTGGGCCAGCTGCTCTGCTAGCTGACATATGAAATACTTTCCTTATAGATGTTCCTGAGAGTCAATGCCTTGTTTCCCATTTTAAGTAGGAAATAGGTTCAGAGAGATTATGAACCTTGTTCAAAGTCATACAGCAAATAAAACCACATATAGGAGCCCAGAACCACCATACTCTTAAATCTATATTGTTTTTAGGATGTGTCCAGGTGTCCAACAAACAGACCTGACACTTCCCCACATCCTTAGATCTTACTGACTTAGCAATGCAGGCCTCAAAGGCATGGTAGTTTGGTCACAGCCCCTGTCTGAGAGTGTTACATGAGTGGCCCTCTTTGTAGCTGAGGACCTGGTTAAATTGACCTTTGCATTGCAGGTCAGTGTGATCCTGCCACTTTGCAGGCATCCACCCATGTTTACTAAATGAAGGCTTAGAGAAAAATCGAGTTCTTCATACATTATGCCACAAACAACTAAATGGTAATCATGTTTGAGGACAACACAAACAATCTCTGCAGCAGTTGATTTTGCTCAAACAAGGGATTCTCAACCATGGCACTACTGATATTTTAGCCTGGATAATTCGTTGTTGTCAGAGCGGCTCTTCTGTGCAGTATAGAATGTTTAACAAAGCATCCTGACTTCCATGCTCTGGATAGAAGCAGCACTCTTCCCTCCCAGGGTAATAGCTAGAAATGTCTGCACACGTTGCCAAATGAGATTGAGACATAACCACCCCTGGTTAAGAATCACTGCATTAGCCCTTTCACTTGTAATGTTGAGGCTCCAGTTCAGTTCTCCTGGTGTGTGTCCTGAGGGGCAAGATTGGGGTAGAAAGCAAAGAGAAGTCTGGAATTATACTAGGTGCTGGAGATTTTGGAGCCTTTATAATCTGGAACTTGGGAAATTGGACTGTTTTTAGAGAGGAGATAAATGGAAAGGTGGACTAGAGATGTAACAATATCCTGACTTTCTTTTGGAGAAGATTAGGGTATGGGTGGTGGGAGAGGAAGAGAATGCCTGCTTAGGAGAGATAATAGATATCTTTTAGAGACACTCATCCCAACAGGTTAAAAAGGTGCACACAAAAAACTTGGTGTGGGAGACAGTATGGGTGACAGTGGAGGGTATAATAAGAAAATTAAATCTTAACCCTCACTCTTATCTCATATTCATTCTTTAACTGCCTTTGTTGTCCAGGTATGTCAGAATGTATTGTGCCATCATTCTGCAGAAGACCTTCATACTACGGAAAATTTGAAAGAGAGAGCATTTTTACAAAAAGCAATTTACTAGTAATTTTTCAGCCTTTTCCCTGCCACTACTGAAAAATGTGTGTCTGAATAAGTTTGTCCTACCATGCTATTCATCATCACGATTTGCCAGGAATTGTTCTGAAATAATTTCCTACATCAGTTTGCTGGTTTGGAAAGATACTCTGCTTCTTGGACCCAACTATTAAACTAATAAAACAAATCAGAAGAATTAATTGCTGGTGGCAACATAATCAGCATGCACACTAAGCTTTTCTGTTTTACAGCGACCTTCTAAATATATAAAATATCCTTATTAGTAAAAATGATGGTAATACTTAAAGAGTTTTTATCAGTATAGTTTGCTATTGCTTTTTCTTAAAATAATATTAATTGAATTGTCCTGATTCCCTGATAGGAGAGACACTAAGGATTTTTTACAGTTGATTTACTTTGGTTTCTGATGAGGTTATGGGTTCCTTTTGATGGTTTGATGACATTATCTAAAGCTTTCAAATGGAATTTTCTGAACATTAAGAATTACTAAGGTGGTGGATATATCTTCCTAGGGTGTTCATTTACTATTTATTGGGGATCAGGCTTATAGTGATTACCATTAAGAAAATGAATCTCTCATGAAAGTAAATGGAGCATTCTACAGAAAGCTGTCCACGAGGCAAGTAGAACCTTCTTGCACACTGGTTTATTGATCATTTCTTCTTGCATTTATTGAGCAAATGTTGCAGTGCTACAATAACATTCAGTACATATGCTATGTACTTCTGTGCTCTAAACAAATGTCACCTGTGCACGTCATCTGCATTTTCTCATTTGACTCTCACGATAGCCTTACTGGAGAGGCACTAGTATTATCCTTATATGTTGACTGAAACTGAGGCATACAGTTTTTTTTTTTTCCTTTATTTTTTTGTAATTACTCAAAATCACACAGCAAGTAGCCTGCGCTCTGAATCCATTTGTAGTCCATGTACTAAATCACAACCCTACTAAGGGAAATCTGTAACCTAGAGTGACCCATGCTCAACTTCAAAAAGCATCAAACTACTAAAACTCATCTGAGCAATTTCTTTGGACTATCCCCGTGATGTCTATGGATACAGGTTATATAGGAACTTCCAGGTATATTCTTGGCACACACCTGACCATGTAGCACAAATGGTGGGTTGCCCTGAATTGTGGACTGAACACAAAACCAAAATAGCATTTTTAATGATGGCTTGCCATGGCTAGGCTACTCAAGAGAACCGTGGACTCTGGTTCTTGAAGGTAATCTCTTGGCTCCAAGACAGAAGGAGTTCATAAAATTTATTTTTCATTGGAAAATCGTGATTTGGAACTCACTGGACTGTGCTGTCTTGAGTGAAAATGGCAAGTCATGGTGGTGCCTGTCTGGCTCAGGAGAGCTAGATGCCAAGGAGCTGTTTGGAATATAAATGTCTTAATTACCCTCAGATTAAATTCCATAATCAAATGTAAGTTGTAGATATATAAGCCCTATATTTTTAGATTAGTGACGTAGAGCTATCCCTGCTGCTGCTTTAAATTAAGAGTGTATATAAAAATGCTCATTCTAACTTAAAGGAGTGAAAAATGGGAGCAGCTAAGTGCCTACCAATAGGTAAAGCCTATGTAAATTATGGTACACATTCGCTCAAGACAGCCATTAAAATGATAATTATAAAGATTATTTAATATCATAGAAAAACACTTGCGAAATAATGTTAAGTGAAAGAAAACAGCCTGCCCAAATGTACTGGAAGATAATGAACAAAAGTAGTCACTATTGTGGTATTAAGATAGTTTGTTTTGGGAACCAGCACATAGAGTAAGTTTGTTTTGGGAACCAGCACTTAGCGTAATGGCTATGTCGCTGGACTCCCACGTAGTCGACTGTGGTTCGCGTCTCGGACCTGGTGGCTTAAAACTCACGCCGGGTGCGTGTGCGTGCGTGCCCAAGATCCCGAGAGGAGAATGGAGGAGAAGGGATTGTGGCGTGACCATCCCCCCGGGGGGTGATTTCTGGCTTTCTGTCTCTCTGTCTCTGTCTGTCTGGTGAGCGCACGCGCCCTATAGCGAAAACCTCTCAAAAAAAAAAAAAAGATAGTATGTTTTGGGCGATTTATTTTTACCTTACGTTTTCCAATTTTAGGGGAGTAGGAGGCACAATATTGTTACCTTGTTTTGCCAATTATAAAAGCACAACAAGGTCATGTAGTGAATCCAAACCTTCAACAGGCCTCTGAAAAGTATAAACACTAGTATCCACCTAAGAAAAACCAAGAAATGATTAGATTTGGGGACAAGCAATCTCCCAGAGGCCACCATTTATTGTTTTAAGGAAGCCCTGAA